GAACCAGGGCTGAGATGTTTAGAGGTCGACTGTCCTCACAGACCATTCGAAATCGGTTGCGGGCTGCCAATCTCCATTCTCGACGTCCATATCGTGGGCCAATATTGTTTCATCAACGTCAACGTCTGCTGTGGGCCGAACGTCACCTCCGATGGACCCAGAGAGACTGGAATCGAGTCGTCTTTAGCGATGAATCCAGGTTTACCCTCAGATTCGCGGACGGCAGGCATAGAGTCTGGAAACGACGTTGTGAACGGTATGCCCAATTTTGTGTACAGGAAGTCGACAGATTCGGGGGCGGAAGTTGCATGGTGTGGGGTGCTTTCTGTGGGAAAAACCGTTCCCGACTTCTGGTCATCCGTGGAAACCTCACAGCTGCTGCTTACCGCGACCAGGTGCTCACCCCTGAACTCGTTCCTTTCATGGCGGCTCATGGCCCAGGTCTACAGTTCCAGCATGATAATGCTCGGCCGCATACCGCGATGTTGAGACGAAATTTCCTTCAAAACGCTGGAATCAACGTCATGGACTGGCCATCGAGGTCCCCTGACCTTAATCCAATAGAGCACGTTTGGGATGCACTTGGGAGAAGGCTTCGTGGTCTTAGGAACCAACCTCAGAATTTGCAGGAACTTGGCGGTGCCTTGCAAGAGCAATGGCACAAAATCCCCAACCACGTGTTCACAAGCATCAGGCAGTCGATGAGGAGACGGTGTTTGGCAGTGGTGAATGCGCGGGGCGGCCATACACGATATTGAACTGAGAAATTTCGAGTTTTTATTCTTGTGACTCGACTTAACATTCTGTATACCCATGTTTTGGAACGGCGGTGTAGCCTAATGGAACTGATTATGGCACTGTCAGTGTATCGAGTACATCACACAGATCTCAGCAATGAAATAATAACAATTTAACCATCTTACCATCTCTTGTTCTTTTATAGTGCCCTGAAGAAATAATGTGATGTTTCATTTTTTACTCAGTATATATTATTCTTTGGTATTAAGTGTTATATGGCAGTGTTGTGTTACAATGTTTCAAGTGTAATATCTTGAACATGTTGCCATACAGTAGGGGGAGGTGGTGTGGTCTATTTAGAATTATGCTATATTTTCACGGAGTTCTAGAATGTACTACAACGTTTGCCGTCCTCTGGAGCAGAGGAAGATCTAGTAGTTATTTTTAAGGTATACATACATCCCGTCCACTGCTTGTTAATTCCTGCTTGACAGGTACAAGAATCGATATCAAAACGTCGCAGTCACGAAATAAACTAAAGTTGTTATCCATACAGTTTGTCAAAACTGTATAAGAATCGAAGTATCTTCATGTATTGACTATCATATAAAGCCGTACATATGTGGCTGAATACCTACCGCTCATCACAGTAACTACCCAATGTACAAGTATGATCTGTTTATAGTGAAAACGGACCCCAGCGAAAACGGCCTAAAATTAAATCGAGAAAACGGCCACCGCTCACGATAAAACGGCCACCACTGCTGGAGAAAACGGCCACCACTACTGGAGAAAACGGCCACCGCTTCCGATAAAACGGCCACACCACTGCTGGCGAAAACGGCCATTACAAACAACAGAAAACTACATGTATTTTATTTTGCTTTACTCTAAATCAATATCAATATATGAAGGCAACAGCAATGATAACATAGTTATTGCAAAGTTTTAGGTTGTACATATATAAGTTGTATTGATGTTGCACATCTAACATCGCAATAGAACGACTGTTTACCGTAGAATGCTCGTCAAACCACTCTTCATTTGTTTGTCTCTGAAAAAGGCAACATATTTTATAACGCTAAAAGAATTACATAGTTTCTTGTTCTTGATAATAATAATGGTGATACATGTAATTCTTTCTTTAAAGTGATATAAGTCGGTGCCGGCTGGCTGATCAGGGTCAAGCACGTCTCTCATAACTTCCTCAACAGTAGCGGCAGCCGACCGGAAAGGATTATTTGGGGCTTGCGCCGTCACCCGTCAACAATTAATTATTGAATAAACACGAGAAGATGTTATCATTACACAGTGGTTGGCGGTGAAAGTGTTAAATAAGATGATCCATAAATTCTTTTATTAACCTGTTCTCTCACTCACACGTCAGTCAGGACACAGGGAGTAGCGGGGTGATTGGATATCTTCACCTGAATTTTAAGTTACACCGGCAATATTTCAGCCATATCGTTATAATGTCATGATCATTTCAAATAAATTATAAACACCTGTCACCGAAAGACAGTAAAACAACGCAGATATAAATTTAATACTAGAAATTAAATTTAAAGCATTTAAACTATAGATTACAATCCAATAGAGAAACAGGCTATAGATTGCCAACAACTGAAGGTAGATCACATACTAGGGACCAGGGCAGAACTACAAGAACAAAAGTTGGAATTAGTACTACTAATCCGCTCGTCAATACAACACGACATTATTATCTTTTTTGTCTCTATCATCGGCTTATCTTACCTGTAGAATCTACAATCGATCAAATTTGTTTGTTGATCGTAACTATCGAAACAACAAATCATTCTTCAAAAACCCAATGAATCAATTTTTAAAAGCTTTAATATTTCTATTATTTAGGACCCATGGATGCCCTCATATAGATATAATTGAATAAGTATTCATGCATTCAGCCTTTAAAAACCATCACCAATGATGTCAACGTAATAAGGAAATCCTCCAATGATAAAACAAACTACATTGTACATATGTGTACAAACTACAAACTACATCAGATCTGACAGAACAAAAAGTGATATTCATGTTGTAAATGTTCACAGAAATTGAATTTGCTTCAATTATGGTTTGCTCTCGACAGACATGTTACAAAATCAAAGTATCGGTGATTCTTTTTACAGAATGTCATCAAATACCATGAGAGGTAGGGTAGCCTAGTGGTTAAATCGTCCCAAAGGAGATTATTAAAAAGGTCTGTGATTCTGGCTCATGGTCTGTTATATCTTAAATCGTTTGGCTTTGTGTGTAGCATCTTAAAAATAGGATCTAACAATGTATAAATACAACATGTGTTATATTTGGGATTACATTTTTTAGTAAAGTACAAATTCCAGTACTTTTTGGGTTGAGTCCCATCCTAATCCCCAGCACTCAAAGTGAACCGCCTAACCCGCTCAGCCACCGCGACTTCCACAACTGGAAGTCGGGCAACTGTTAGTCTAGACTGCGGACTTTGTGTACCCCTCTCCCAATAATGACAAGAATTTTTACCTTACTAAGAACGTGTAATCTCAAATATAACACATGTTACATTTGACCACTTTCTAAATGGCATTGTGTAATCAAAGTAAAATTAAGTAAAATATCGGCTGATCATAAATGGTAAGATGTCGAAACGGACAACTATTGACCGCGGCTGTAGACAATTGAATCTATTTTAATAAAGAGTCATGGGTTATTATGAAATTGAAAGAAAAAAACGTTTGACAATAAGAAAAAGTACTTTTGGACATGCAAAATAATATATTTGATAAAACTGTGTGTAATTGTTTAAATAGATTGTAATGCTGACAAAAACAGCTTTCATTTGCCGTTTCATTTATGTTACTATGACCGGCCTACATTCTGATAAATAAGAACTCAGAAGAAATAATGTAAACAAGTTTTGACTTTAAAAGGGTCATTATATTCATTAGAATAGAAAACTAAAACCCCTCTCCCTCGGTCACACCAACAAAAATAATAAAACAAAAGAGAAACAAAAACAAACAACACGAATACATGAACAGTCATAACATAAGAGTCTTGCTTGACAACGGTATAAGAATCCATACCGAAACGTCGCATCATATATGATTACCCCCAAGCTGGACACTACCTGTGAGATGGTAACCAGTGATCAGACAAGCCAGCTGGACAATGGAAGTGCTGTGGACTCAATCAGGACATCACAGATACTGAATAGAGACAGAAGCAGGGTCTACTCTTCTGGTGAGCTTCTATTGTTTAACGACAAAAGATTTCGACTTGTTCCAAGTGTACTGGCCTGTATTCGTGCCCTGGGAATATGTTGCAAAAAGCCAAAAAGGAGGGGGTTTAGGGGTGGTCGACAGCCGCGAAAAAAACCTGAAGAATGTATTCATAAACTACAACAGTGCCCCAACATCTCTGATGAAACATTAAATCATTCAATGTTTGTTCATCCCAAATAAAACCTGCCTTTGATAACAATATCACTTTGGAATACACAATCCATCCGAAATGAAACCCTGGATATTTCAGATCTGGTCATGGAAAAGAATATTGACAGATTCTTCATTACGGAAACGTGGTTATACTCGAATGGTGACGAAATGATTCCACCAGCTTATTCATTCATGCATCTACCTAGACAGTATAGAAAGGGTGGTGGAATAGGCGTCTTATATAGATCAAACTTAAATGTGAAAGTTTGTTCTGACCCCCTTTTCACATTTCAGTCTTTTGAACTCATGAATCTGTTGCTCACCATCAGTAGCATATGCTTACGATGTATCTGCATTTATAGGCCACCGCCGTCAAAGAAAAACGGACTGACCTGTAACCTGTTTATCTCTGAACTGTCAACACTTCTTGTCAATTTGAAAATGAAGCATGTGTTGTTGCTTGGAGAATTCAATGTACACTTGAGAATCCTGAAAATTCAGCAGTCAAGAAGTGTGTCAAAGTTCTTGAATCTCACGATTTTCTCTAGCATGTATCTGGACCTACACGTCGTTCTGGACATACGTTAGACTGGGTTCTGACGCGGTCTGCTCGCGATGACTTTGTGTCTGGTCTATCTGTCGAAGACACACAAATGTCTGATCATCATGTAGTATCTTTCTCCTGAAAAGCGTCACCTCTTGCGGAGGATTTTAGCAATTTCTTTGTAGAGAAGATAGCAATGATCCGTTCAAATCTTGACAGGTGTGAACTGTCTGAGTCTCTACAGGGCGACATTGCAACCTCAGATATGCATCTTGACAAATTTGATGTATGCAGTTAGGAAGAGGTAAAGAAACTGATAGTAGCTTCAAAATCAACCTTCTGTGTGATGGATCCCATCCCTACCAGATTCATGCTAGAGTTTGTGAATGTTCTCCTTCCGGTCATTACACAGATCGTAAATCTCAGCTTGGTCTCAGGACACGTTCCAGCATGCCTGAAGCAAGCTACTGTGAAGCCTTTATTGAAGAAAGCAAGCCTTGACACTGATGATTTGGCCAATTACCGACCCGTCTCAAATCTATCCTTTGTGTCCAAGGTGCTGGAAAAGGCTGTAAAGACTCGCCTTACTGCTCATTTGAAAAACCACAGTCTATATGATGAATTCCAGTCAGCGTATCGGAGCAATCACAGCACTGAAACAACTTTACTTCATGTGATGAACACGCTACGTGGAGCGGTAGACTCTGACCAGGCTTGTGAACTTGTCCTTCTTGATTTATCGGCAGCGTTCGATGCGATAGATCACAAACATCTTCTTGATTGTCTACAAAACCGTTTTGGATTAGGCTACTCTGTTCTATAATGGTTTTCCTCATATCTATCTGATCGATCTCAGTTTGTGCTCATCCAAAATATTAGATCTCAGACACGCAGCCTTTCTTGTGGTGTTCCGCAAGGTTCCGTATTGGGACCGATGATATTCACTCTCTACACCAGTAGTCTTGGGGACCTTATAACTCGGCATAAAATCTTACATCATTGTTATGCTGATGGTACTCAACTCTTAAGAAAACTCAATGTTAATGATGCAAAATCACAAGTTGCAGAAGTTGAAGTGTGTGTAGGGTATGTGAAGACATGGATGACTCAAAGTAAACTCAAACTAAACGATAAAAAACAGACATTCTCATGGCTTGTTCACCAGTCAACTGACCTAAACTGAGTGTGAATTCACTTATGATAGGCGAATCTCGGATCTCTGTGAGTCCAACAGTCAAAAACCTGGGTGTCCTGATCGACTCCACACTTACGATGGAGCCACACGTCAGTAACGTATGTAAGATCTGTTATCACCACATGAGGAATATCTCCAGCATACGCCACCTATTAACAGCTGACGCAACACACCATCTTGTAAGATCTATGGTGTTGTCCCGCTTGGAATACAGCAACAGTTTGCTTGGGAACATGAACAAAGACCTGCTCTCCAGATTGCAAAAAGTCCAAAATGCAGCTGCCAGATTGATCTGCAGAACCACCAAGCACAGCCACATCTCCCCAATCCTCATGCGTCTGCACTGGTTACCACTCCCAGCCAGGATAGAATACAAGATACTTAACATGACGTATAGATGTCTTAACAATGCAGCTCCATCCTATCTCTCTAGTCTTGTCAGAGGGTACGTTCCAACTAGGACTCTTTGATCAGCCATCAGTTACTGCTCATCGTCCCAAATGCAGGTCTGAAGACATACGGACATCGACGTTGTTCCTACTTGTCAGCTATCCTCTGGAACAATCTGCATGTGTCTCTCAAAGAATCCCCCCTCAATAGCCAGCTTGCATTCTAACTTAAAAACTTTCCTGTTCAAGAAGCACTATGACATATAAATGAACTCCTGTTGTAAATATGTATATATGTCAGTGCCATGAGCAACCACTTGGTGATTGGATATAGGGCGCTATATAAATGGACTTATTATTATTATTATTATTATTATTATTATTATTATTATATCATATTTGTCTTAAACGGCGACAATGCAAATAGATCACCAAAAACTCAGTTATAGCATCAGGTATTCACGAAAAGGGTACACATGTCATGCTTACCGGTAGCAAATGCCGCTCGCACAATTTGTAATGTTCATATTGTTTTGATGCCAGGGAGAGCACAGTAACACTGGACCTTTAAACAACTGCGTTTTAAGTAGACAACCAAGAGAAAAGGCAATCCAGTGACGCGACATTTACTGATAATGTTGAACATAACAAGTATATGCATTAAAAAAAATCATAGGTTTAATTTAGAATTACAAATTCTTGAAGTTTGATCTATTGCTTTTTTGTGCGCCTTGTCTTTAATGAAGCTAAGGGAGACACGGTACGGTGACATCAGTTCGTGAATATTGAAGTGATTCTCTCAGTCAGTGTTACATTGTACTGGCGCTGACTGTCATATTGCCTCTTGTAGCTATCTTCAGCCGGTCCCCATTCTGGTCGCGGGCTTAAGAAATGCTGAAAAGAAACCCACCAATCACACTTGTTACATTTGGTACTGAAGTGTCACCAGAAGGATAGTTTTGCAAAAACAACAACAACAAAAACAAACAAACAAACAAACGGAAAAATCCCATACAAATTAGATAAGGTCCATATCATATCAAAATAAGAGTATCTGTTCGTGACATATCCTCTATACATGTTTTAGGTTAATCATTCCATCTAACTTCCAGGACATTGCTGTCAAAGATTCTCCTTTGCGAAGCAAACACTCTGTTCAAGTACCATGTTCTGTGATTTCAACTTTGTCAATGAAGGAGGTTTAAGAAGATATCATAGAAATCTGTCAGCCCAAATGAGTTGGAAAATAGCTCTAGCAAAAGTGTTCCATAGATATCTGTGTACTAATGCCAAGTAGACAATGGTATCACGAAAATGTCTGAGTAAAGTGGGCACACCAAATAGGTTAGAGAAATATACCGTTTTGGCTGTTCAAGTTAGTTCGGTGGAATGTGACTTCTTCTAACTCATTTGGCTTAGAATATTTCTAAACAAAGCACGTACTATGTCGAATCTCCAAGACCGCCTACACGAAGACTCAAATTGATTGAGTTAATCACACAAGGTTACGTAGCTTCATTCAAGACAGAATCATTACCTGAGACGAAGTGACAAGAGCCAGGAATGCAAACACGGGTAATGGTGCCAGTGGAACCAGTGCTATGAACCACCCCAGTACGTGGGCCCACACTGGATAGTCGATCGCCCTTGAATCCAAAGTGTAATTTGGAGGGGTGTAATCGATGAAGAATAACACCAGGAAAATCTGGAAGAAACAATTAGAGTTGTGATACTTATGGTGATGTATCATTTATCTCAAGATACCATTTATCGAGAAATATCATTACCAGCAAGACGGGCGGAAGGATGAAACACCAGATAAACTTGATGACTATCGGAGGTGGAGTGCCAGTCATCATCTCAATATCTCTGCCCAGCCGACCCATGCCTGAAAATGTGGATGAGGTTGATATGGATATAAATAATACAATGATGTGACACAACAGACCGATATGAACAGAGCAATGTTTCATGAGGCTTATAACTGGAATATAGACATCTACGACGTGTTTCGTTTTCTGTTTCCTGACGTGGTCCATGTGTCATGTAAAGACCTTCACAACGGCCTGCTTTGCAAATGATGAATGTTTCAGCAATAATGAAGAATGGATACCAAATATGAATCCTTAGAATTCGAAGTGGGATTGGAATGGTTTCCCTCAGCAAAATGAATTGCACACACAGGCCAAATATTAGAAAATGTCGTCTTCTATGTGTATTTAACAAGAAGAATGTGATAACTCGCTGCACCATACCATAAATCCATCCAACTGTAAGGAACTGTAGGATACCATGAACATAGATTGACACATAACTTATGTAATAGTCAACCAGCCAGATCAAAATAACCCCTCCCTGCAAACGAATACGTGTCAGTTACACATATATCATTCACATAACGAACATGGAACTATATTGTTTAACACACACACACACACACACACACACACACACACACACACACATACATACATACTTACATAGATACTTTTCTATATATTATATAACGTATAATATAAAATTGAAATATATAATACATAAATAATACAGAAGTCTATGCCATCTATACGTAAGTATATTTCTTAAAATTGAAAATATATAAATATGTATAAATAATACAGATTCTATGCCATCCATACGTAAGTATATATCAGTGGTCTTACTTTAGCCAAATATGGAAGCGTCAGCAAGAGGGTTGCAATGCAGGTAACCACAGTAACCACGATTCTTATCATGCGAGATCGGCGTGGCAGGCTGTCAACTACAGCTGTGATGATCATGTCTGCATATACAAACTGAAACAGGAAGATTTTCATATTTTCATTAACAACATAACAGAGCAAACTCATCCTGGACCGTGTCCCCCATTTCCTTACGTGTGCAACCAATGCTTTGTTACATGGTTTGTTACCTGTGACCTAAGCACTGTTTGCAGTCTTAGCAATTATTAACTATTGACTGTCCATTCAATGTTGCCTTAATTTGTTGATATATAAACATCTTACAGTTTTCAGGGGTAACACGTATACCATCATTACTGGTCCAACACCGACAAAATAATTTCTTGGCGTAGACCAATGATCAAATTAAGGTGCGTATACGTTTATAAAATTTGGTTTAATGTTGTTGACATTTACCTGAGAATTCAACCCGACAAGAAGAAGAATGCAGAAGTAAGCAAAACTCCAGAACTGGGACGCAGGGAGATGAGGAAACAGCTCCGGGATATACTCAAATGCGCTTCTTATGCCTGTTAACATAAGGACTAGCTGCAAGTTTTCTAAGATCAGATTGTCATCATTCTCGATAATGTTGTCAAAACTGTCCTAAGGTGGCGTAGGAAAATATTATTCATGAATCTGTGATCAAGACTGTGGAAGGAGTCATATGATTAGCCTCCGAAAGACAGAATAGAACATGTTTATGATCAGCTCTCCGTTTCTTACTGTCAGTAAAAATGTTTATCCTTGCATGTGAACAGAAAACATTCTTAATCTTGAGAACTTTAATCTCTGCTAACATGAATCGATTACTTTTATACAAAAGTGAACGTGATACATTTTGTTTCTTAGTTCGCAAGTTGTTTAACGTGGCAGTGAGCAGTATTCCAGCTATATGGAACAGACAGGCCATTTGTTAATATTATGAACATCGATCTTCACACTCGTGGGATACCATGACATGTGTCAGTGAACCCTAATCACCGATCCCGTTAGTCGTCTCTTAAGACAAGCATGGGTTGCTGGAGATTAATTCTGACCCCGATTTGCCCAGGTGGATTTTGGTAAGAGGCGACAAATGTAGATTGAATGGTTCAATGTTGTGTTTTAGTGGTTCGACTACATCTCATTTAGAACGTGTCACTCTCTGTCCTGTGTGGGAGTGTGAGGTTTGTCAGTGAATATTCTCCGTTAGTATATATTTCTTGATTAAAATGAAAAAGTAAGTAAAGGGAAAGAGCCTCTAAATATCTGTACTCAATATACCTGCAGTTTCGACATTGTATATCGACGAGTGTTTTGTGTTGGCCAGAGCCCCGGTGAGGCTCATCATCATCAAGGCTGCGAGCAAACGACCAACAGCACCGACACTGCATATTATAACGGAGTCCCTGAAACAGTAATCATTGTGTCAAATAAGTGTTATCGACAACCTATCTACGTTTGTGCTTTTTTTTTAAAAAATGGACATAGTTTTAGATGAGCGAGTATGGTTTTACGCCGCTTTTATCAATATTTCCCCAATGGGCTTCACACATTCTACCCACGTGGAGAATCGAACCTCGGTTTTCGGGGTGATTTGCGAACGATTTACCACGAGGCTACCTCCACCCCCAATCTCAGATGATCAAAGAGACAACTTATCCAATTCTAGTCACCTTAACGCAGAGGATTTGAAGTGTCTGTAGCTTGCAAGATTGTTAACGAGACCCGATGTTATGCCAACAGCGAACATGGCCCGTAAGAAGGCCCCGATCCACATCTGAAATGGTATGATATACTTGTAACATAATGCCTAGCACCACATACTTGAACAGAACAGACTATATGTTAGATTGTGGTGTCACAAAAACAGAAAAAAGAAAACACGCTCAGGTATAGTTTGTAGCTCTGTGCAGAATGAGTAGGGTTACCGGATACAGTGTACATGGAGAAAACATTGATAATGGTGATTATTAAAGGCTAACAAAACTATTTAATAATTCTAAGGAATCTGAACCAAAATGATATTTCGATGTACAATGCCGACTATATCGTAAGCATGTGTAAATTGATGTATCCCTATAAAACATAATTGCATCTTCGTTGGTTTGTAATCCGAGTGATGACCATGGATTTTGAGTAACCTGAATCGAATCTTTCCATGCATCCCTCCAGGGAAAGGTGGAAACACAGTATCTTAAGCTTACTCCTTATGTTATTTTATTCATGTTACACACACGGCTTCGAAGTTGGAAAAATAACGACATAAAAAAGGTGCGAAAAGTAGATGCCATTGCCCGATTCCTAATATATTATAAGCATGTATTCCCAATGTATCACAACATTGTAACACCTCTGTCGTATTATCTTACTTTGGAATAACCTTAATCAGACCCTTTCTCTACCATTCCCTGCCAGAAATGATAGAGATCAACTTTTCCAAACATACTATATTAATTGTTTAACGTTTGTAAAGCTTATACCTGGACTTTGCTCATGTATTATGTACGGACTTGAAGTTGGACATCGATTGTTATGGAGGGAAAATATTCAACACAAAAAACGAAATTACGATTAAAACAACATATATAATAACTGAACAATGTTATCAATAAAAGGAACACGTATGCCAAATTGGAAAGTCTTAAAACCAGGACATATTGTGATACAATATAAGTTTAAAAAACATGTTCGTGAGCTCCAATCAATGCATACAACTGCAAGTTGTCATAGAAATATCGAGTGTCATTGCATTGCCAAACAATATGTCTGGATATTTACAAAATATCTTAATATATTCGGACGTCTTGAATGTATTCCTGTCTCATTAGCGATGAGAAGTTGCCATCGAAGTTCCAGTGATCATATTTGGAAGAAATATGTGTCAGACATAAACGGATGAAAAACAACAAGGCGATGACATTAGCAGACTTGACTTTTCAGCAAAGTGAGTTGATAACTGAGCATGAAAAAAGTGTGTGCCTCCAAAAATACAAACGATAAACACATATACTATCATCTGTATAAGAATCCTTTTTCCTAAAAATATTGAAAATAAAATAACCACGCAAAAATATATTCGTCTCAGGATGTTTAACGGTGCATTCTAAAGCGTTACAAATACTATGGTTAAACTTACATGTTTACTTGTAAGATCTGCTCGAAAGTTCAGTGTAAAAAGATATGCTAATCCATCTGAGGATCCAGGAAGCGTCATTGCTTTGATGAACAGAACCAGTGCCAATACAGACATCAGTGACATGGTGATGCAGAAAACCTGCATGAAAAAACAAACAAAAACACTTCAGCGTTACAAAGCTACCTCTAATACCAACATTTATACGTTAATGGTTGAGTTGCTTTACCCAGTTAATATTCACACAGAAGGACGGATATAGAACGCAGAAGAAAGAATTAAAGTATATTTTACATCAAAATATAATTTATCATCTACAGAATGAACAGTAAGCATACAAACCTTCCCAAGAACCTTTACTCCCCAAAACAAAGCAAAGAAGACTAAAACTGACAATCCAGCACAACAGCCAACTAGCTCCCACTGGAAACCTCCCATGTCGTCTATTCCGGAGGATTCAGACACCTGTAGAACTCTTTTGCTGTAAACGTAGGAACATTGATATCATTTGTCACAATGTTTGATCCTGGAAATTCTGCTTCAGAGTATACCATTGTAGATATTTCCCGTAAGCTTTAGAATTAACACTGTATTAATCACTGTGTATCACATGTCAAAGGCGTTCTTATTGCTTTGAAGCACTGAAGCATAATGTGCTTCATGTTAAAGACAGTTTTGATGTTTGTGAAACCCACAAACACGGATATTGTCCTGACAAAGCCAGATCAGATTCACGACGTATCTGCGATGATTGGATCCGGGCACTACTGAGGAATGTAACTCTACACAGAGAATCTTAGCGGCTTGTCCCTAAGCAAATGGTGACCTCAACATTCACTCCCTGGAGTCACTGCTGGTTCTTTTCATTAAGATACCACGACTTGTAATGAACTGCACACATATTATGCATTCATTTCGTTTCATACACTAACTTGTCTTCAAATAAGAAGCAATACTGTGTACGTATTGCATTTAATATTTTCAATGGTGGGTGACTTGTTTACAGATATACATACAGTTATATCCGAACGAGACGGAGTTATATGGAGGTATGGTCATTTTCAAATATCTTTGGTAATAAACAGTATGTGTTTTTAGCCGGTGTTATTCAGTATTCTGTATCCCAAACCTGCATGTGGGACAGACGGGACAAGCCGGAGGTTTCAATTTACAGTTATGATACTAATCAGGAAAGTAAACAATTCCCGGTTTCAAAATCTTGTAACAATATTTTCCTCCTCCGGTCAGATTTGGTACTGCTATGCGTGTAATGCAGCTCCGTCTGTGAGGTCTATTTCCATATGATGTTGATAATTTGACTGCCTTCTCCTTCTGGTCTGACCTAACTCAGGTTCATGTGTATTCAAGTTTAGGTCACTTACTTCAAGTATTGTACACCCGGGCCACCTGTGGTACTATTGAAGCATGTTGGCGTGTTCCATGCGTTGTTGCAGTTCGACCAGGGCAGCATGGAGGAGAACGATTGAACCACGTAGTACAGAGACCACGATGAAATCAAAGTGATTACGGGAAGTAATATGGCGGAGTAAACCATCATCCCAACGCCTATTCCTGCAACAGTAATATGCAACTGACTTACATGTAGAATATCAGCATTATCGTAAGGTTAACATGAGGATACTTTTTGAAGGTGAGGTCTAACATATTCCACGTGAGTGAGTGAGTGAGTTATTATTTAACGTCACATCGGCAATATTTCAGCCATATCGTGACGAGAGCATTTGACATTGAAATAGAATATATATAGATATTATAAAAACCTGCCGACGAAGGACAGTAAAACAACTAGAATATCACAATTTGAATTAAAACTAGCTTAGAAAGCTAGAACTAATAGCACTATTTGGACAATACAACAACTGAAGGTAGATCACCATACGAGGGACCATGGGGACTTTCAGTACCTTAGCTACCTGCATGGACCCTAGTTGGATTCACACCATCCCTTCAGCAGCTGGCGATTGTAAGCAAATTAAGCCACAAATTAAAATGACAAGAATACTACGATTAAAAAAGAAGAAGATTAGAATTTTACTTCAAATGGTTTGGGACTTACGTACCCTCGCAGGAGGACAATAATTTTACAGTACTTTAACCCCCCTTGAGGATACAGCCACTAACAATCTGAGTTACTAATTCAAACTTCCAATGGTAAAATATATATCTATTTACAAATCGTTGAACAAATCTAATTCTTTTAAAAATGCAATAATTAAATGAGAGATGACATTAGTAAAAAGATCCTTCAGAGTTCGTGATGTGAAATAGATATCCCTTGTGATGGAATATTCAACACAGTCAAGCAAGACATGCTTGACCGTGATTCTTTCATCACAAGGGATACAAAACGGAGGATCCTCACCTTTTAATAGGTACTCATGAGTATATCTTGTGTGGCCAATACGACATCGTCGTATGATGACCTCTTCAAATCTGGACTGAGAACCTAAGAAGTGTAACCGATAGTTGGTTTTATTGCATGTAATTTATTGATACATACTTGGGTGTCCCACTTCTTTTGCATCAGATCACGGATATAAGATCTAATAGCTGCTTTGTAATCAGAGTATGGGATAAAAAGCGGTGTCACAGATTTGTTGAGGGCTGCCTTAGCAGCAAGATCGGCCATTGTGTTCCCAGAAATGCCAACATGGCTGGGTAACCAACACAAGACGGTGTCGCATTGGCCAGTAGCAAGCTCATTATACAATTCAATAATTTCTATTAAAAGTGGATGTTTACAAGAAAGGTCTCTAATGGCCTGAAGGCACGAAAGAGAATCGGAAAAGATTATGTATTGTTTATATTTACGGTGTTTATTGATATATCTAAGAGCTGTTAATATAGCGTGAGCTTCTTCTGTGAAGATGGAACTGTTATTTGGTAATCGAGTAGATATTGTTCTGGATCCAATGACAGTGGCACAAGCAACCGCGCCACCATCCTTGGACCCATCTGTAAATAAGGATTTATATGAATTTTAGTTATTTCTTAATTGACTAAATTCTTGTTTATATTGCAATTCATTTGTTTCTGATTTTTTTTAATGTGGTTAATGTTAGGTCAACTTGTGGCCTCACCAATTGTCAAGGCAGAGAAGAAAGAAGAGGAGAAGGAGATATAGTTTCAAGATCAATGCCGGCAGCAGAAAGAAAAGGTTTCATTCTGTGCCCAAGAGGCGGAACAAAAGAAGATTTCTTGTATAAATCCTCATAAAGAGGATGAAAGACACAGTTATATGCAGGGTTTGCTTCCCTGGAATATAGTTTTGTAATATACTGTAAAGATAGTTTTATACGGCGTTGTGCAAGAGATGGCTCATCTGCCTCAACGTAGAGACTGTCAACAGGAGAAGTTCGAAAAGACCCAAGACAAAGTCTTAGGCCTTGGTGGTGGACAGAATCTAAAGGTTGTAGGTTGCTTTTGCAGGCTCCACCATATACAATAGAGCCATAATCAAGCTTCGAGCGGACCAGTGATCTATATAGATGCAGGAGGGTAGCTTGATCCTCTCCCCACTTTGAATTGGAAACGACCTTTAATAAATCGAGTGCCTTCAGGCATTTATTTTTAAGGGTTTAATATGCGGTAGAAAAGTTAAATGGGAGTCGAAAATTAGACCCAAGAACTTGGCCACTTTGACAACTTTGATTGGAGTGCCATTTAAATTTAGTTCTGGTCCTTGTGTGGCTTATATTTTCTACAGAAGTGTATGCAATTAGTTTTCGACTTAGAAAATTTAAAGCCGTTTTCAAGACACCATTTATTTATTTTGTTGAAACACAATTGCAGCTGCCGTTCAATAGTATGCATCTTTTTTACCACGACAAGAAATATTAAAATCATCCACAAACAGCGACCCATCGACTGAATCATTTAACACCTTGGCCAAAACTATTTATCTTTATACTAAAAAGTGTGACGGACAAAATGCTGCCTTGTGGGACACCCTGATCCTGATTGTAATGATCAGGCAGGGTTGAACCCACGCGGACTTGAAATTGCCTGTCAGTTAAAAACTTGGATATGAATTGAGGCAAACGAATTCGCAATCCAAAATTGTGCAAATCTCTTAAAATCCCATGTTTCCAAGTAGTGTCATATGCTTTTTCTAAATAGAAAAAAATCGACACTGCATGTTGCTTTTTTAATAATGGCATTTTAACAAAGGATTCTAAACGCACTAAATGATCGATAGTACTTCTGTTTTTACGGAAACCACATTGAATATCCGTTATAAGGTTATTGGTTTCCAAGCACCAAACAAGTCGATTATTTATCATGCGTTCCATGGTCTTGCAAACACAGCTAGATAGTGAAATCGGTCGATAATTCGAAGGAACAGTATGGTCACGTCCAGGTTTAGAGATGGGAACAATAATAGCATCGCGCCATGAAGATGGACATTTTCCAGATGTCCAAATAACATCAAAAATGTTTAAGAGGGTCTCTAAGTATGATTCCGGTAAGTGCTTCAGAAGCTGATAATGTATGTTATCAGCCCCTGTAGCAGTATCGCGAGCCTGGTCAAGAGCAGTATGAAGCTCATGAATAGAAAATAGTTCATTGTAATCTTCCTCATTATCTGAATCGAAATTAATAGTTTTCTTCTCCTGTTGTTTTTTATAATTTTGGAATTGAGGTAGATAATTCGAGTAGGAAGAGTGTTTGGACAAAGTTTCTCCAAGTTTATTTGCAATAACAGATTTACTAGTTAATAATTCGTCTCCGTCTTTAAGATGCTTAATGCTAGATTGAGAACCCTTACCTTTTATTTTCTGGATCATATTCCATACCTTTGAGATCGGCGTTCGCGAATTTATTTTTGATACATAATTTCGCCAGGATTGACGTTTACTTTGCTTGAAGGTACGCCGTGCCTTAGCATTTAAAATTGTAAATTTATTGAAATTATGGACCATAGGATGGTGACGGAAATAAATCTCAGCTTTCTTCCGTGCCTTCCTAGCCTGTTTGCACTCATTGTTGAACCATGGTTTTCGGAATTGGAATTGCAGAGAATTTGGGGATACACTCATCAGCAATGTTGATTAGTTCATCAGAGAAATCCTTTATAGGATCAGGACTTTCTATAAAAAGTTCAGGTTTAAGTCTGCTACAACACAGAGCTTCATACAAAGGCCAGTTAGCCTTTTTAAAGTTCCATCTTGAAGATGGGGTAATATCAGATGGGTTCACAGGTGATGGAATGGTAGGAAAATGGTCACTTCCACAGAGTCATCGTGAACTGACCCTTCAAATTCATTCAGTAAGTTTGAATCCGTGGTTGATAAATCAAGCGCCGAATAAGTTTCAGTGCCAGGATGTAAATAGGTGTTGGAACCGTCATTGTATATGCATAAATCATTATCTGAACAGAACTCTTCTAACAGTTTACCTTTAGCATTAGTAGTTGTACCACCCAAAAGTGGGTTGTGACCATTTAAGTCTCCCATAATAATAAAGGGTTTTGGCAGTTGGTTATATAGAGTTTGAAGATCAGTCTTCTGAATGTCTGAAGATGGTGAGATATACAAAGAGCATAATGCAAATGCAACGTGTAAAGTGAGTCGCACTGCAACTGCTTGAAGATAAGAAGTAAGTGTAATAGGGCTATGGATAACATTCTGTTTGACTAGGATTGAAGAACCTCCAGTGGCCCTGTCACCCTGAGGTGAGAAATAATGATGAGCATTGAAATGACGTAGGTCAAAAGGATCTGCCTGCTTTAAATAAATCTCCTGCAAACAGAATGCTGACGGCATACAATCCTGGACTAATAACAGTAGATCATTATAATTATGCCTTAGTCCTCTGCAATTCCACTGTACAATATTCTTGGAATAAACTATCTTTTCGGCGGATTGATTGGGGATATACCCCGCACTTGTTTGGAGGGCGACAAGCTGTGTGCCCTACATTGGACGTTTTCGGACACGTCCATGTCCTCAAGTTATCCATATTTGTTGTAAAGGTTAATTTTATTTTCAGACCCTTTTGGGGCTCTGCCACTTTGTTTTTTTTTTAATAATCAGGCTTAGGTTTATTCTTGCCTTTAGTAATTGATGGACATTAGATAGCGATTGATACTTTGTGGTTGACTGAGAGGATGTGTCAGGATCAGGAACTTGCTCTGATTGAGTTTGAGACATGCCAGAAAGTGGCTCCGCTGTTTGAGACGATATTGCACTTGAAAAAGACTGCGGAGAATCAGCTTTCACCCAAGTCAAATTTGTTTGGCAGCTTGAAGATGATTTAGGTATTTTAGGAGTTGCCTCAGATGATGTCCTGGTTTTGAAGCATGTGTCTCTTGTTGGTCGCATCTTTGTACAAGTTGTTTCGCTTCGGCAAAACTAATATTTTGAGTAAATTTGATCTTGTTGATTTCCATCTGATGTCTCCAAATCGGACACTCTTTAGAGAAAGAGGGATGGTCTCCTGAACAATTGGTGCATTTTTTGTAAGTACTGTCACAGTCTTCCGTTGTGTGTGTTTTCTCACCACAGTGAGCACACACAACAGACAATGTGCAGGTATTGGCACCATGACCATACTTCTGGCACTTGAAGCATCTCAGTGGATTTGGTATGTATGTATCCACTTTGGTATGACAGTAACCAGCCTTTATTGACTTTGGAGCAGTCGGAGTGGCGAAAGAGAACAGATACGTATTGGTTAGATGGGTTTCATTATTTTTCCGGGTTGTGAAGCGTTTAACATATAGGACACCTTGTTCTTTCATCTCGGAGACAATATCTACTTCCAGCATGTCAATAAAAAGTCTGTCCCGGTCTCTTACTATGCCCTTGCTGGTGTTAAGTGTTCGGTGGGCAGAGACTGATACGGAAATGCCGACAAATGAGTCAGTTGACAGGAGGTTGGTAGCCTGTTGTTTTCTACTACATTCAACTAGAAGTGCATCTGTCCGCAAACGTTTAATGTTTTTAACATCTCCTGCAATGCCTTGTATGCCTTTTGATACAGCAAAAGGGTTCAGCTTTAAAGGTGTTTTGTCAACGGTCTCAATCACAATGAAACGTGGCCAGTAGTCAATGGATGTGGGCAGTCTTTGGTCGTTAACATCAGGTTCAGTGTCAAGTGGACGTTTCTTTTTTGTAGTGGGGGTTTCGTAAGCCATAGTTATTGTTGAATGGTTCATCATCCGAGCTCCCCACCCTCCACGGAGTATCACAAGGACAATGCTAAAAACAGGCGGGTTTCCAGCCTGCAGCACCAAGGATACCCGAATGATATACTCAAGCAGAATAATACAAAAGTAACTATTCCACCTGATTGGACCATGAGCCACTGCCTTCTGCGCATACGACTCTAGGCAAAAACATGAAAGTGTATATTTGAAATTCTAAAGTTCTAAAAATTCACCAAGACTTAAAAATAGTATATTACAATTTTCAAAATTTTCTGCAACATTACATAATGTAATGCTCAGGGCTTGGCGTGACCAGCCGATTGGTTGAACCGGGCCAGTTCAACCACCCGTCTAGGTGAAGTAAGGGGCGAAGTGGTGTGTTGGACAAAGGAACACTGTTCCTGGAACCAGTGCCCTCAACCACCAGACTCCCGTCCTCCACCGACACAGGGGCGCAACCCACGGCAAACGGGTTGGTGGACCAAATATACCCCCGGGTCCACAACGGGGGGTGGGGGGGCGAAGAGCTCTTGGCGTTACCCAGCACCCACCACGAGGAGGTGGCTCTTCACGGGTGCCTATTCCACGTGAGTGTGATGGTCCCAGGTCCCATGCAGGTGTGTGTCGGGGCTGATGGTACAAGCGGAATCTATACTGCAAGACGTAACTAAATGCAACTCGACTTAGCATTTGGATGTTTGAGTAAAGCTGTAAATGTAGACTTTTTGGAGGACATTTCACATATACGATACAATTCCAAATTTCGATGTATCCGACACCAAAACCATAACTAAACAGTCGTATGGTAAATGCGTAATTGTATTGTATGCGTCTTACAATGGAATGCCGTTACAATTATGCATGACCTGATAAAAGTGTAGCCCTGACAAGTTGGCTTTGATGACGGCGCCAGTAGGGAGTATGATACACACGCCTTTTCATGAACATAGCACAATTTGATAGTGAGTAACAAACACATATTGAAATTGTCGATGTCATGCAGTTCGTTCGGTAAAGAGAAGGGTCTTGCCTTTATAATTACCTCTGAACAGTGGACACAAATTCCAGATGTGGGCTGGTCCTCTGCTACTGAATTGTCCAAGGCTCAGATCCATGTACAGGATGGGCACTCCGATGACGAAATAGAAGGCAGCGTAGACTGCCATGAAGGCAACTGGAAAACATTTCACAGTTTTGTTTACAAATCGAACGCAAGAGCAAAGACGAAACGAAAATTGCTCTACAAAACTCTCAAGTGGGTTATTTATAATTTCTTGTCCCAACAACAGCCAAACACTAAAAGCGTCAGTGATGGATGATTGTGGCATAAATGTGATTACTTACATATTTCCAAACACATATGAACTGTGACTCAGTGGATTTCTCTTTGAATTATGGACCTAATCAGAGGTAAACACTAAACATAATACGATTTCAGTGAAATTATCAACAATTGTAATTATCAAATAATATATTTATCTTTTGTATTTACCTGAATATGTGCTGCTCAAATAGGGAAGTGCAATAAATGTCCCATAACCAATGCTCAATGCTAGCACTGACGCAATAAACTCTACATTGGATGTCCAACGTTCCCGCTGAAACCCGGAATTCCCGCAGTTATTTGTTTCGGCCTCGAGAACAAAACTAGTCACATTTTCGTGACCTGCTTCCGACAGCATCTGCGTTGACATTAGAGGTTGGTAAGATGGTGGTGGTGGTGGTGGTGGTGGATGGAAGGTTGATGGTTGAACCGGTTGTGTTGGTTGTGGTGGATGGTTTGTCCTTGTAGTGTGGTCCTCTTCATGAGCAGCTCCAGGATTTTGATCCTCTATTCTTTCCATCGCTATCTCAGCCATAGTGCAGTATTCACCCCAACTCTTTCACTTAAGACGAGGAAATTATCTCCGACTTCAACTGAACAACCGCAGGGCTAATGTATATGCGTCTTATAAACCAGACAACAGAGTCCACCCATCCGTGAAGGCAAACTGGCCATAGGGACTACACTTTCCGCTATTGACAATCCGATTGTGCAACAACTTACGTTAAATATAGACTAATGACGACATTTTCAGGTCACATGACTGAAACTGTTGTATACACCCCTTTCCATGAGGTCATGTTGCTCTACAATGAACAAATATACCCAATGCGTTCATGTGGAGCATTCAGCATTTTACTGGTTGTTTCGCTTGTTATTTGACATGAGCAAATAATGTGGGCTATGTCTGAATGAAACTTCAGGTGTAATACAGGCAAGCATGTGTCTTGTCATTGTTATTCAAGATAAACAGCGTCCAGGTAGGCACGTCTTGGTTAACCATGTGACACATGACGCGCATGTGCAGTTATATACTTCATTGAATTGCAACACAATTCCTTCCTCCTCCAGATCAAACTGACACGTAGTAATGTAACCTAAATACCTAGGGCGCAGTGAACCAAAGCATACTGACGCACCCATTTTGGAAATAATGACCAAGTTTTAACGTTTTTGAGACGTGTTACACGTAATATTTATTCTTTTGCTACTCTACTACTCTACATTGTCCAAACTTATAATACATGTGGTCTTTATATTTGGGCGATAGTAAACAAGCATATTTACACAGAAATACAACGCGGCTGACAATCGTGTTCGTGAACATACAGTGGGTCCATGTATTAAACCGTTAACGACCCTCGAGTATGTCACCGTTGATATGCAGTCGGCATGATGGGCTATGATGAAATATACAAAGAACACGAATGTCCAACAACGACCTACAGCACAGATATTAACAGTCATGTCGCAATACATTACCTCCTTTACGAATATATATTAACGCCTATATGTGAAGCAATACCTTGTGGAGTCAGCTGACAAGACAGTTGCCAAGGCGACCTAGCGCGCATCTGTCTGATGTATAATCTCTTGAAGTTAAACGGAAAAGTCCAGCGAGGTAAGGAGAGTATACATAATTCTAACCTGGAAAAGCGCTTTTAGTGTTTACCAAGGACACAATAATGAAATCAGCAGTATTTTCAATGTATTTTCTATTCTTTTTCTGTTTTAATTTTGACCAATAAGAAGTACAAATTAGATTTCATTTGTATGCATAATACAAAAAATAATTTCTTTTCAATTCATAAACTTTAAGCATAATATTTATTGTAAATCAATGAAAACACTGGTCAAGGTATTCTTGTCTTTTCATGTTCGTCTGACCACATCATTTCCATAAAAAGTAAAAATGTTCTCTCATCCACAACATATGCACTGTAACTGCGTTCCCGGAATTTAGCTTTAAAAGACGTTAACCGCACTCTTCCCTTCTCTCTGTGGGACCTACACTGAAGACAAAATATGAACTGACTATTTCAAAGCTAGTCTGGGCTAGGGACACGGTCTTGTAGTGCTGAGTTTTACTGCCAAAGGCCACTCTAACAGAAAAGGGTCAAAACAAAGTATATTTACAGTTAAGGTGAGTGCTTATCTGAAAGGAGTATTTTCCATACCCTTGTACGCCTACTCATCATCTTGCACAACGGATAGCAAGAAACATCAGTATCAGATTTATTCAATATGAATGCCACAAATGTGTTCATACATGTAGCAACATATACCTCAGCAATATGCAAAGACTAATGTACTCAATTAAGCAGATACAGGTATTAACACTGAATATTTTAGCAACTATTTTCATGTTGCTGTGAACTATACACTATATACAAGGACCTATACACTTTCATTAAAATACTTTATAATTTTGAGATGAACTATTTTTAACAACAATGCAAAGATGGTGATGTAATATATTTTCCTTTAAAATCAGTCTGCAAAGTGTTATACACAAGTGCAAACTTGGACATTTATTCTTAAAGCCGTATCTTCCACTATTTACAGACAGTTAAAAGTGGCTGCATCGAAACCGTGATAAAATTGTTCACAGATAAACAGGCATGATAACATTTGAGTAAGTTTCATTACTTATGAGGCATTTGAACGATTTGTAAAAATCTGAGATTTTTAAATTGTATAATGTACTGCACAAGGTGTGATGTAGGTTGACAAGTCTCTTTGATTGTAGGTATATACAGTCTTTTATCATCAATATCCATGCAAATTTCATATTGTTAAATATGATATTGTTGAAGTGGCTGACCCAAGTTGTCTGGAAAGTACCCTCCAACACAGTTAACATAACAGTGGTAAAGAAGTGTATCTTGCTGAGGTGTATCAACTGGCAACCAATATTTCACACCTCTTATCGTACATTTTGAATGCAGGGGGCCTCTACCACATTCTCCAAGTTGCATAATATTCCAGGCGTTATTTGTTTTCTCAAAACAGAAAATACAAGTAATCATAGCATTAAAAAATCTGAAAAGGTTATTTCTCTTTTTCTCGGTCCTCTGGTATCTCTTAGTTACCATCATAGCTTTAGTGTTCAAACAACTAGACAACTTGGGGCCAGCACAAAGTCTTTTAAATCCTATGAAATAAAAATCATTTTCCTCTATAATGTTCTTTTTGATGTCAAAGTGTTATGTATGACTATAAGGAATATATTTCCTTGTTGAGTTATAATTTGGCATGGAATTGGATCGTTGAACCATTTGGTCACACAGGTCCATAAGTATATTTGTACATAACTGTATCATAGCTTCTAGATATATTTCATATTATTCCCTGTCAAATAGTTGGGTCTGAATCCAGCATCTAGCCTTCCGTTACTTTGTTATCTTCACAAAATGTTTTTAGTTTAGAGTAAAATTTAGAGGTGCATTCTTTACATATTGTATCAATCAGGGTTATACCTCTACATTGTATCGTTTTCAGCGCCAGCATTTGAATAGTAGTAAAAATACCTTTATTTAATAAGCGTAGAAAATCAATGCCTTCACATATTTTGTGTAAGTGAAACAAATGCATGTATGAGGTTATCTATTAGAAAGTCTATCCATTTACATACTGTTTCCTCAACAAACCTCAGACAAGATATCTTCTCAGATAAGTTACTTTTACAATTTGGTGTGTTACAGGTCAATAACCAATTATTACACCAGTGTCATTTCCTGAAAATATGTGGTTATTTTGACCAATAATATTCACCGTGTGGAAATAATGTTTAACTCGCTGTAAAATATTGACTAGAGTTACATTGTACTGGCCCAAAGTGGTTAAGGTTTTATTTGTTGTTTATATATGTCAGTATGTTTAAGTTATGTTGACAACAGTTTCCAATGCTTTATCTCAGATGGCGAAGTAACATCACTTGTGTCATGTGCATACAAGAGTAACACCCCACCGCACCATTTGTCATTTCTCCCCTTTTCGCAACCAACAAGAAGAAGCATCTCCATCAATAAAAAGTATGTGTGAAAATACGACAAAACAATCAGAATGCAGCATGACTTCAAATACCTCTATCAAAGAATCCTTAAGGAATGTATTATTTTATATAAATTATTATTATTTTATATAATTCTTCCTTTTAAAACTATATCCAAGATACAGATAATTGTGTTCAACCATTAAATATCATCGGCACTAAAAGTGATAATTAGGGGAATCATTACTCAAAAGTATATGATATGACATTTCTGTCGGATTTGTGTGAACCCAATCGCCAAAATAGCCAAGAGCTGGTCTGCAATGCTGCCACACTTTTGCGTAATGGCAGTAGACATACGCATTTTAATACACCTGAACGCAAACTAAAGCAGCGGAAGCCTGACTTGTCCCATGTCCATTCGTAACTACTCACTCTTTCCGTGATCTACATGACTTGCCGGAATGACACGAGTAGTTACGAATGGTCCCATGTCCTGCAGACAGACCAGCAGAGGCGTGGGTCAAACAGCTGAAAGTGAGTTATCTCACACAAGGGTTGATGGACAATGTCGGCAGTGTGACAGATGATATGTTTTAATACTTGGAAACAATATCCAGATTATATCGTTTCAATTTGTTATGTACATGAACTATTTACGATACTCTCTTTATGGATTCGAGTAATATCTTGAGTGGGTTGTCATGATTACCTGGTACTTAAACACTTGATACAGCCTTCCGATCCGGATTAGAATTCTACTTCAGTAACCCATGCTTGTCGTAACGAGGAGACTAACGGGATCGGGTGGTCAGGCTCGTGGTTGACAAGTCATCGTACACCAGTTGCGTAGATCGATGCTCATGCTGTTGATCACTGGTTGTCAGGTCCAGACTCGATTATTTACAGAACGCCGCCTATAGCTGTAATATTGGTGAGTGCGGCTTTAAACAACAAATCAACCAGCATGACTATTTCAAGATCTATGGTACATCTCGCCATTTGGTGGACGTCAAACATGGATTTTATGAGGACTTTCCTCAACGGTTCCTCTCATTAAGAAAAGGATACCAATATATGGATGAACAACTTCTTTATTTCTGTGAGAGCGACTTGCTTGATAACGGTGCTAGAACCTACACCGAAACGTCGCTCTCACAGCAATACAGAAGTTGTTCATCCATATATTGGTATCCTTCCTCACTGCCCCAACTTCTAAATGCCTCTTAAAGAAGCTTCAAGTTATTTACACGTCTAAAAACCGTCTATTATGATAATTGCATTTGTATTGTGTTGCTTAACGAGCTGGACATGGAGTGTTGTTATCATGAATGTTATCATATATTAGTGGGATGCATTGATAGTAATGAAAACTTATAAGAAGATCTTGTACTTCAACATACAAACCTATCCCGATAGCTCGCATCGTCACTCTCATGTCAATCCATTGTGACTGTTGCAGTCCTCCTGTACATCCTGTATATGTAAGCAAGTTGGGGGTTTTTATTTAGGATTTATTATTGCTGTTGTTCAGTTGAAGGTATGTAATTGAAACTTTGTACAAATTGTTAGAATTGATTGACTTATAAGTAACATTTCTCATCCATTGAGCATTTGATATTTTATTTCTTGCAGAGAATAGTCTTAATTTTGACCTGCTTGTATACTGCAGAATTATATTCATATGCAGACATGTACAATGAGCTAGAAAAGGTGAGCTGTATTTCATACATTCTGTTAACCCTTTACCTGCTGGAGTAGAGAAATACTCAGTTGACATTCAATACACATTCCAATCTCAGAGAGTTATGTTTGTTGCAGAATTACGGAAATCGGAAAGCATGACCCATATCGAATTCATGCAATGCTATGTAATGATATCTTGCAGGGTTTTGTAAATAATTAATCTTTGCCGCAGGTACCATTAACCTGTATTTTTACTTAATTTTCACTAGTGAGTTTAAGCTTTTGATGGGTAGAATATTTTAGATTGAACAAATTGCGATCTGCTGGAGTGTAGCGCCAAAACACAACTTTGAGGCGAGATGACCCAACTTTCGTCCCACTTTAACGTGGACGGTTGCGTTTGGGTGAATATTTTCAATTTCAGTAACTGACATTCCAGTCTGCGTGACTCACCAGGCTAAGCCTGTACTTCTTTTCAAACTATTTGATTTAAACAATATGTTATTTCCAAAGAAGCTATATGTACATGGTTTGAACATTGATATTACACATAAAAGGAAATAGACTGCTGCATTTCTAGGTTGGAATTCTGATGGAATATAACGTAAGAAGTGATGCATGCTTACAAGTTAGACTAACAACTAGTCTCTAAAATGAACATATTTTACTGAAAAAAGTTCATAGTAAAAAAATAATAATATAATATAATGAAAAGGAGCCCTGAGACTTTCTTCATTTTCAGAAGCTGAGGAAATCTAGACTTGCCACATTTTCTAGACTTGCGTGGGCTTTCTTGGATATATTTGCTTCAGGGTCTGTACGACAGACTAGCTTACAAGTGTTAACAAATAAGATGTACTACTTAATGAACATATTATTTATGGTACCAAGCACTTATTGAAAGCGGTTAGAATCAGCTATGAATTTATAGACATGAGCAACATTCCACCAATTTCAAATTTAATAGCAATGATTTCAATATATCAAATTTGCTTGGTTCCTATTCATAACATTTCAATACACATTCCAGCCAGCATGAGTAATCTCATTATATAATGATGTCATGGAATAGGTTCAAAGGACAGCTCCTGGAATTTATGGAATGTGCTCCTGAAAGCTCCTTTGGTATGTAGGAGCGCGCCTTGGAAAATGCTATTGTTCTCGCTGGAATTTATGGAATGTGCTCCTGAAAACTCCTTTGGTATGTTGGAGTACTCCTTAAAAAATGCTATTTGTTCTCTCCTGGAATGCTATTGTTCTCCTTAGGAATGCTATTGTTCTCCTTAGGAATGCTTTGATGTCCGAAACTGATTACTTATATACTACTAACGTGTTATGTTATACATAATCAGTACGGGATATATTTCGCTAGCCCGGGTAAATTGGGTCCCTTGAGTGGTGATCTACCTTCAGTTGTTGGAGATCTTCAGCCTTTTTTTATATTGTATTGTCCTAATCTGAAATCCTAATTTAGTCATATATGCTAGTTTTATTTCTTGATATTGTGATATTCTAATCGCCGGTACTGTCTTTCGATGACAGTTTTTTATAATTTACCATAAATTACTATGTATAACAATTAATGTTCTCGTCACGATATGGCTGAAATATTGCCGATGTGACGATGAATTATAACTCACTCACTCACCCGAGTAAATTGGTACAAAGAGGGTATAAAACGTACTAGGAGTGCCAGTTATGACAAAGTTTCATTTCACTCAAATTCAACGAATATTGGATCAGTTGCTTCGCGGCATGTTCCAACATGTCATTTAAAGTGCCCATTAAGGACACAAAAAGTTGTATTGACCTTAGAGTATAATTGACCTCACTACGTTTAAGTATATATGATTATCAAATTTTAGGCTGTTACCATACTTTTAGTTTGTAGTATATATTATTCATAAAGAAGGTAATGTATTGCGACATGACTGTTAACATCTGTGCTGAATTCTAAAGGTAGGCCGATGGTGGACATCCGTGTTCTTTGTATGTTTTGTCATAGCCTGTCATGCCGACTGCATATCAGCAGTGACATACTCGAGGGCGTCAATGGTTTAATACATGGACCCGCTGTATGTTGACGAACACGATTGTCAGCTGCGTTGGGTTTCTGTGTAAATATGCTTGTTTACTATCGCCCAAATATAAAGACCACATGTATAATACGTTTGGACAAATTAGAATAAGCAGAGTGGCAAAAGAAGAAATTATTACGTTTAACACGTCTCAAAAACGTTAAAACTTGGTCATTATTGCCAAAATGGGTGCGTCAGTATGCTTTGGTTCACTGCGCCCTAGGTATTTAGGTTACATTACTACGTGTCAGTTTGATCTGGAGGAGGAAGGAATTGTGTTGCAATTCAATGAAGTATATAACTGCACATGCGCGACATGTGTCACATGGTTAACCAAGACGTGCCTACCTGGACGCTGTTTATCTTGAATAACAATGACAAGACACATGCTTGCCTGTATTACACCTGAAGTTTCATTCAGACATAGCCCACCTTATTTGCTCATGTCAAATAACAAGTGAAACAACCAGTAAAATGCTGAATGCTCCAAATGAACGCATTGGGTATATTTGTTCATTGTAGAGCAACATGACCTCATGGAAAGGGATGTATACAACAGTTTCAGTCATGTGGCCTGAAAATGTCGTCATTGGTCTATATTTAACGTAACTTGTTGCACAATCGGATTGTCAATAGATACCGTGAAGTGTAATCCCTGTGGCCAGTTTGCCTTCACGAATGGGTGGACACTGTTGTCTGGTTTATAAGACGCATATACATTAGCTGTACGGTTGTTCAGTTGAAGTCAGAGATAATTTCCTCGTCTTAAGTGAAAGAGTTGGGGTGAATACGGCACTATGGCTGAGTTAGCGATGGGAAGAATGGAGGATCAAAATCATGGAGTAACCCGTGAAGAGGACCACACCAGAGAGACAAACCATCCATCACAACTAACAGAGCCGGTTCAACCATCAACCTTCCATCCACCACCACCATATTACCAACCTCCACTGTCAACACAGATGCTGTCGGAAGCGGGTCACGAAAATGTGACAAGTTTTGTTCTCGAGGCCGAAACAAATAACTGCGGAAATTCCGGGTTTCAGCGGGAACGTTGGACATCCAATGTAGAGTTTATTGCGTCAGTGCTAGCATTGAACATTGACTATGGGACATTTACTGTACTTCCCTATTCGAGCAGCAGATATTCAGGTAAATACAATTAAAGGTAAATATATGATTTGATAATTACAATTGTTGATAATTTCACTGAAATAGTATTATGTTTAGTGTTTACCTCTGATTAGGTCCATAATTCAAAGAGAAATCCACTGAGTCACAGTTCATATGTGTTTGGAAATATGTAAGTAATCACATTTATGCCACAATCATCCATCACTGACGCTTTTAGTGTTTGGCTGTTGTTGGGACAAGAAATTATAAATAACCCACTTGAGAGTTTTGTAGAGCAATTTTCGTTTCGTCTTTGCTCTTGCGTTCGATTTGTAAACAAAACTGTGAAATGTTTTCCAGTTGCTTTCATGGCAGCCTTCGCCGCCTTCTATTTCGTCATCGGAGTGCCCATCCTGTACATGGATCTGAGCCTTGGACAATTCAGTAGCAGAGGACCAGCCCACATCTGGAATTTGTGTCCACTGTTCAGAGGTAATTCAAAAGCCAAGACACTTTCCTTCACCGAACGAAATCCTACTAGAAGCTGAGTCAACTGCATGGCATCGACAATTTCAGTACAGTCAGCTCTCGTTAATCCGACACTCATTAATCCGACAGTCACGTTAATCCGACAAAAAATTAGGGAACCATTTAAAACAGTGATAATTACACTCGTTAATCCGACATTCTCGCATTCCGACTCCGACACACCAATCTAGCAGCTGATTATTGTAAATACATTGTAAAAACATTCGTAAACATTAAGTAAACATTGATATTTTCACACAAATACATTAATCCGACATTTTCATTAATCCGACATTTTCGTTAATCCGACATATTTCTCTGCAACCAGAAGTGTCGGATTAACGAGAGTTGACTGTATGTGTTTGTTAATCACTATCAAATTGTGCTATGTTCATGAAAAGGCGGGTGTATCATATTCCCTACTGGCACCGTCATCAAAGCCAACTTTTCCTCTTACTATCAGTTCTAAAATACGAACTGGAAATATATTTTCTTCCAAAGAGACTTATCCATAACGGCAGCAATGACGTGTTGATAGTATTCTATAAATGTAAAGATAACAGCTCGATTCCGAGTCTGCTTTCTATATTATATGACAGAGGTTCAAAATCCATTATAAATCAGTTGTACTCCATGCCCTCTGAGCTATTTTTAGAATCTATACGCGTCTGAGAGTGTCGGGTTTACCGAGTGCGCGGGGCTGACGTGAAACGTGTCCTTTGTGTGCGACATTGAAGCACGTGTTGGTGTTCGTTTTGGATCCTCAAGTATCGGAGTATGTTTTAGCGATACGTTAAGGATTTGCAAACTGTAAGTAACTTTGAAAACTTACTTTGATTGTAAATACTTACCCATTCTAGCACCGATATATACTAGGACAAAAAAAAGAGTGAAAACATGTCACTGTTACAACACTCTCGAGCCATGTCATGCGATTTCTATACTTCGAATTTTATAGAATAAATATCAAACTATGTACTTGAACTTTTATTTCCAAAAAAATTAACTTCAATTAGGTTTGTTTCACGATTTGATCTCCTTAGTTCCTTGGGGCGGGCGATGGCCTAGTGGTCTTGGCGTTTGATCGCTCGTCGCACGGAGGGCCTGACTTCGGCTCCCTGCGTGGGTGCGGCGTGTGGAGCCTATTTCTTGTGTCTCCCCGCTCGTGTTGCGGCGTCGAGCTAAAACTCACTCAATTACTCACCTACTCATTTCTTAGTTCTTGTCTTAACCACGGGGGAGGCAGAGCCTTCTGCTCCTTCAGAGAAATTGCTCGTGGCAACCACGGAATTTTCTTTGTTCTTCTTTTCTGTATTACCTTATGTTATAATAAAAAACAAAACCACACTCTCATATAGATACAGAAACACCATTTACGACCAGGCAAGTTACGATTACTCTAAGATTCTTTAACTATGGATGCAAATAACACAATTAGCATAGTTTCAGGTAATTGTAGAGGCCTAGCCAAAAAAGGTAAACGTAAAGAAGTCATGAATTTATATAGAAAAAAGAAATTCTCAGTCATATGTGTACATGACATACATATTTCTGCAGAGTATGAGAACACAATGAGAAATGAATGGGGTTTAGAATGTGTCATTGCTCCATATAAGTCAAACTCAAGAGGTGTTGCCATTCTTCTAAATAATAATTTTGAATATGAAATACACAATGTTTCTAAAGACGAAAATGGAAATTACATAATTTTAGATATAACTGTTGATGACATAAGATTAACCCTTACAAATGTTTATGGACCGAACTCTGATAGTCCTTCCTTTTATACATCTTTATTTGATAAGATTATGGGTAACGATTCAATTGCAGTATGTGGAGATTGGAATCTTGTCTTAGACCCCTCCATAGACCTTGAAAACTGTAAACACATTAATAACCCACAGGCTCGTAAGACTGTCTTGGACCAAATAGACAATTTAAACTTAATAGACGCATGATGAGAGTTAAACCCTAAAACAAAAAAGTATACATGGTGGAAAAAGAATCCTCGCCAACAAGCCAGATTAGATTTCTTCTTGGGAACTGAAGACCTCTTTTAAATAGTAATATATCCTTCATACCTGGTTATAAAAGTGACCATTCTGCTGTAACGTTATCTTTATCAACACAAAAAAATAAGGAAAAGGGACGCGGCTATTTGAAGTTTAACACATCATTATTGAGACGAGAGGAATATATAACACTAGTAATTGACCTACTTAATGAAACAAAACGGGAACACGCAGACCCTACATATTCAGATGAAGAATTAAACGAGATTAAAGATGATCACTTACGTTTGACTATCAGTGAAGCTCTATTTTTAGAGACATTTTTAATGAAACTTAGGGGAAAATCCATCTCATACTCTTCATATCTGCAAAATATAAAGAACTAGAGGAGAATATATGTCATATAGAAGATGAAATAAGAAGTAACTTCCAAAACGTTAATGAAACACTTCTTGCTGATTTATCTAAAAGTAAAAATGAATTGGAAAAAATAAAAGAAGAAGAAATAAAAGGAATCCAAGTTAGAAATAGAATCCAGTGGTATGAAGAATTGGCGACCTATCTCTCTCCTAAACGCATTGTATAAAGTTATAAGTACTTGTATAACAAACAGGATTAACAAAACTTTGATTTTTCTTATAATCGAAAATCAAACAGGATTCATTCCAGGAAGATGCATTACGGAAAACATTAGACTTCTTTATGACATTATGTTCGAAACTAAAAGGCAAAACATAAAAGGTTTACTAATCTTAATTGACTTTGAAAAAGCTTTCGACACCGTGTCAAAATTATTCATTAAGATGGTCCTAGACAAGTTTGGTTTTGGAAGTAACATTCAAAGATGGGTTAACATATTGATTTCTAATGCATCCTCGTGTATGATACAGAATGGTCACTTGTCCACGTTGTTCGATAATGAAAGGGAATGTAGACAGGATGATCCCATATCTCCATATTTATTCTTATTGGTAGCAGAAATACTAGGAATAATGATCAGAGACAACCACAGAATAAAAGGAATTGTTTTAAACGACATCGAACATGTTATTGGTCAATATGCAGATGACACTGAATTATTTTTGAACGGTTCCGAAACCTCTCTTAACGAAGCTATGAAATCTTTGCTTTCCTTTTACAAGATGTCAGGTTTGAAAATAAATATTGATAAAACAAAAGTAGTATGGCTAGGCTCAATCGCAGGTAGTAAAATAGTTCTATCCCATGACTTTAAGCTGGATTGGCATAATGAGAATTTCGAAGTATTGGGAATCAAATTAAATGCTCATTTAGAAAACCTATGGGTAATCAATACAAAGAAGAGACTCGAAAATATAAAAAGAATTCTACTGAATTGGAAAAGACGCAATTTAACGTTGATAGGGAAAATAACCATCGTTAAAAGTTTAGCTTTATCCACGATTGTCCACATCTTCTCTTCTCTCCCTAATCCCCCAAAACATTTATTACTGATTTGAACAGATTATTCTTCAAGTTTATATGAAAAGATAAAATTGCTAAAATAAAACGAATTAATTTAGTACGAAGGTACGAAGAAGGTGGTCTAAGAATGGTCGACTTGAAAACCTTTATCGACTCTATAAAACTTTCATGTTGGAAGAGATATATTTCAAAACCTAAGAACTATGCTCTCGCCGGTTTCCCTCTACAAAACCTTCTTTTTTAGGGGCCAACATCACAAAACATTATAATATTAAAAATCCATTTTGGAAAGATTCTCTTGATGCCTGGCATAGATATGTTAAAAGATCGGTATGTAAAAATAACGACATTAATGAAATACTCATGCAGCCACTATGGTTAAATCACAAGTGTAACCAGCCAAGTTTGATCATTCATAACTGGATTAAATGTGGAATAGTTTATATTAAAGATATTTGTAACGACCACGCATTTCTAACATTTGCAGAACTTAAGGCAAACTTTAGTATTAAAGGTACTGTACTTGACTTTAATCGTTTTCTCCTTAGTATACCCAAACAGTGGAAAGAAGTTATATGAACAAACAACAATTTTAATATACCGTCGTTATCTATGTGCTCTCCTTGGAACGATTTGATTAAACCTAGTAAAGGTTCAAGGATATTCTATGATAATTTTATATCTGACTATGACATTCCGAATGTGTGTCTCAAATGGAACGGGGAACTAAATGAGTTGATAAATTGGAAAACCATATTTTCACAATATAGACAATGCACTAAAGACACGAAACTCTTAGATTTTCAATATAAGTTTTTGCATAGAGTCATTTACACTAAACGAGAATTACTAAAAATGAAATTGATAGATGATGACCTATGTACATTATGTGGTTCAGTAAGTGAGGATATTTACCATGTATACCTTGATTGTCCAACCATCAAAATGTTCTGGTCAGAATTTAACAATTTTATAACTCAAGTCCTTGGTAAAACGTATGAAATGTCAAACCATGATATTCTGTTTTGTTGCAGTAGTAACCACTTACTCAACCACATGATACTATTGGCAAAGCGCCACATTTTCGTAATGAATATAATAGGACACAAACCTAGCTTCACCATCTACAGAACATTATTAAAAGATGTCTCCTAATTGTAACGGTATTCCATTGTAAGACGCATACAATACAATACGCATTTACCATACGGCTGTTTAGTTATAGTTTTGGTGTCGGATACATCGAAATTTGGAATTGTATCGTATATGTGAAATGTCCTCCAAAAAGTCTACATTTACAGCTTTACTCAATCATCCAAATGCTAAGTCGAGTTGCTTTTAGTTACGTCTTGCAGTGTAGATTCCGACAAAGTGACACCTTGGCCGCTTGTACCATCAGCCCGACACACACCTGCATGGGACCTGGGACCATCACACACACGTGGAATATGTTAGACCTCACCTTCAAAAAGTATCCTCATGTTAACCTTACGATAATGCTGATATTCTACATGTAAATCAGTTTCATATTACTGTTGCAGGAATAGGCGTTGGGATGATGGTTTACTCCGCCATATTCCTTCCCGCAATCACTTTGTTTTCATCATGGTCTCTGTACTACGTGGTTCAGTCGTTCTCCCCAATGCTGCCCTGGTCGAACTGCAACAACGCATGGAACACGCCAACATGTTTCAATAGTACCACAGGTGGTCCGGGTGTACAGTACTTACAGTAAGTGACCTAGACTCGAATACACATGAACCTGAGTTAGGTCAGACCAGAAGGAGAAGTCAGTCATATTATCCACATCATATGGAAATAGACCTCACAAACGGATCTGCATTACACGCATAGCAGTACTAAATCTGACCGGAGGAGGAAAATATTGTTACAAGATTTTGAAACCGGGAAATGTTTACTTTCCTGATTAGTATCATAACTGTAAATTGAAACCTCCGGCTTGTCCCGTCCGTCACACATGCAGGTTTGGGATAAAGAATACTGAATAACACCGGCTAAAAACACATAGTATTACTGTTTATTACCAAAGATATTTGAAAATGACCATATCTCCATGTAACTCCGTCTCGTTCGGATATAACAGCATGTATACCTGTAAACAAGTCACCCACCACTGAAAATATTAAATGCAATACGTACACACTATTTGTTCTTAGTTGAAGACAAGTTTGTGTATGAAACGAAATGAATGCATAATATGTGTGCAGTTCATTACCGGTCGTTAAAAATGGTATCTCAATGAAAAGAACCAGCAGTGACTCCAGGGAGTGAATGTTGAGGTCACCATTTACTTAGGGACAAGCCGCTAAGATTCCCTGTGTAGAGCTACATTCCTTAGTAGTGCCCGGATCCAATCATCGCAGATACGTCGTGAATCTGATCTGGCTTTGACAGGACAATATCCGTGTTTGTGGGTTTCACAAACGTCAAAACTGTTTTTAACATGAAGCACATTATGCTTCAGTGCTTCAAAGCAATAAGAACGCCTTTGACATGTGATACACAGTGATTAATACAGTGTTAATTCTAAAGCTTATGGGAAATATCTACAATGGTATACTTTGAAGCAGAATTTCCAGGATCAAATATTGTGACAAATGATATCAATGTTCCTACGTTTTCAGCAAAAGAGTTCTGCAGGTGTCTGAATCCTCCGGAATAGACGACATGGGAGGTCTCCAGTGGGAGCTAGTTGGCTGTTGTGCTGGCTTGTCAGTTGTAGTCTTCTTTGCTTTGTTTTGGGGAGTAAAGGTTCTTGGGAAGGTTTGTATGCTTACTGTTCATTCTGTAGATGATAAAATATATTTTGATGTAAAATATACTTTAATTCTTTCTTCTGCCTTCTATATCCGTCCTTCTGTGTGAATATTAACTGGGTAAAGCAACTCAACCATTAACGTATGAATGTTTGTATTAGAGGTAGCTTTGTAACGCTGAAGTGTTTTTGTTTGTTTTTTCATGCAGGTTTTCTGCATCACCATGTCACTGATGTCTGTATTGGCACTGGTTCTGTTCATCAAAGCAATGACGCTTCCTGGATCCTCAGATGGATTAGCATATCTTTTTACACTGAACTTTCGAGCAGATCTTACAAGTAAACATGTAAGTTTAACCATAGTATTTGTAACGCTTTAGAATGCACCGTTAAACATCCTGTGACGGATATTTTTTGCGTGGTTATTTTATTTTCAATATTTTTAGGAAAAAGGATTCTTATACAGATGATAGTATATGTGTTTATCGTTTGTATTTTTGGAGGCACACACTTTTTTCATGCTGTTATCAACTCACTTTGCTGAAAAGTCAAGTCTGCTAATGTCATCGTCTTGTATTTCATCCGTTTATGTCTTACAAATATTTCTTCCAAATATGACCACTGGAACTTTGATGGCAACTTCTCATTACTAATGAGACAGGAATACATGCAAGACGTCCGAATATATTTAGATATTTTGTAAATATCCAGACATGTTCTTTTGCAATGCAATGACACTCGATATTTCTATGACAACTTGCAGTTGTATGCATTGATTGGAACTCACGAACATGTTTTTTAAACTTATATTGTATCACAATATGTCCTGGTTTTAAGACTTTCCAATTTGACATACTTGTTCCTTTTATTGATAACATTGTTCAGTTATTATATATGTTGTTTTAATCGTAATTTCGTTTTTTGTGTTGAATATTTTCCCTCCATAACAATCGATGTCCAACTTCAAGTCCGTACATAATACATGAGCAAAGTCCAGGTATAAGCTTTACAAACGTTAAACAATTAATATAGTATGTTTGGGAAAGTTGATCTCTACCATTTCTGGCAGGGAATGGTAGAGAAAGGGTCTGATTAAGGTTATTCCAAAGTAAGATAATACGACAGAGGTGTTACAATGTTGTGATACATTGGGAATACATGCTTATAATATATTAGGAATCGGGCAATGGCATCTACTTTTCGCACCTTTTTTTATGTCGTTATTTTTCCAACTTCGGAACCGTGTGTGTAACATGAATAAAATAACATAAGGAGTAAGCTTAAGATACTGTGTTTCCACCTTTCCCTGGAGGGATGCATGGAAAGATTCGATTCAGGTTACTCGAAATCCATGGTCATCACTCGGATTACAAACAAATGCAATTATGTTTTATAGGGATACATCAATTTACACATGCTTACGATATAGTCGGCATTGTACATCGAAATATCCTTTTGGCTCAGATTCCTTAGAATTATTAAATAGTTTTGTTAGCCTTTAATAATCACCATTATCAATGTTTTCTCCATGTACACTGTATCCGGTAACCCTACCCATTCTGCACAGAGCTACAAACTATACCTGAGCGTGTTTTCTTTTTTCTGTTTTTGTGACACCACAATCTAACATATAGTCTGTTCTGTTCAAGTATGTGGTGCTAGGCATTATGTTACAAGTATATCATACCATTTCAGATATGGCTCTGGGCCTTCTTACGGGCCATGTTCACTGTTGGCATGACATCGGGTCTCGTTAACAATCTTGCAAGCTACAGACACTTCAAATCCTCTGCGTTAAGGTGATTAGAATTTGACAAGTTGTCTCTTTGATCCTCTGAGATTTGGGGTGGAGGTAGCCTCGTGGTAAATCGTTCGCAAATCACCCTGAAAACCGAGGTTCGATTCTCCACGTGGGTAGAATGTGTGAAGCCCGTTTGGGAAATATTGATAAATGCGGCGTAAAACCATACTCGCTCATCTAAAACTATGTCCATTTTTAAAAAACAACCACAAACGTAGATAGGTTGTCGATAACCCTTATTTGACACAATGATTGCTGTTTCAGGGACTCCGTTATAATATGCAGTGTCGGTGCTGTTGGTCGTTTGCTCGCAGCCTTGATGATGATGAGCCTCACCGGGGCTCTGGCCAACACAAAACAAACGTCGATATACAATGTCGAAACTGCAGGTATATTGAGTACAAATATTTAGAGGCTCTTTCCCTTTTTAAATATTAATCAAGAAATATATACTAACGGAGAATATTCACTGACAAACCTCACACTCACGCACAGGACAGAGAGTGACACGTTCTAAATGAGATGTAGTCAAACCACTAAAACACAACTTTCAACCATTCAATCTACATTTGTCGCCTCTTACAAAAATCCACATGGGCAAATCGGGGTCAGAATTAATCTCCAGCAACCCATGCTTGTCATAAGAGACGACTAACGGGATCGGTGATTAGGGTTCACTGACACATGTCATGGTATCCCACAAGTGTGAAGATCGATACTCATAATATTAACAAATGGCTTGTCTGGTCCATATAGCTGGAATATTGCTCACTGCAACGTTAAACAACTTGCAAACTAACAAAATAAATGTATCATGCTCACTTTTGTATAAAAGTAATCAATTCATGTAATCAGAGATTAAATTCTCAAGATTAAGAAAGAATTCTGTTCACATGCAAGGATAAACAATTTTACTGACAGACAGAAACGGAGAGCTGATCATAAACATATTCTATTCTGTCTTTCGGAGGCTAATCATATGACTCCTTCCACAGTCTTGATCACAGATTCATGAATAATATTTTCCTACGCCACCTTAGGAAAGTTTTGACAACATTATCGAGAATGATGACAATCTGATCTTAGAAAACTTGCAGCTATTCCTCATGTTGGCAGGCATAGTAAGCGCACATGAGTATATCCCGGAGCTGTTTCCTCATCTCCCTGCGTCCCAGTTCTGGAGTTTTGCTTACTTCTGCATTCTTCTTCTTGTCGGGTTGAATTCTCAGGTAAATGTCAACAACATTAAACCAAATTTTATAAACGTATACGCACCTTAATTTGGTCATTGGTCTACGCCAAGAAATTATTTTGTTCGGTGTTGGACCAATAATGATGGTATACATATAAACGGAAATGGGTGATACGTTCCAGGATGAGTATGTTCTGTTATGTTGTTTATGAGAATATGAAAATCTCCTGTTTCAGTTTGTATATGCAGACATGATCATCACAGCTGTAGTTGACAGCCTGCCACGCCGATCTCGCATGATAAGAATCATGATTACTGTGGTTACCTGCATTGCAACCCTCCTAATTACGCTTCCATATTTGGCTAAAGTAAGACCACTGATATAAACTTACGTATGGATGGCATAGAATCTGTATTATTTATACATATTTATATATTTCAATTTTAAGATATATACTTACGTATGGATGGCATAGAATCTGTATTATTTATACATATTTATATATTTCAATTTTAAGATATATACTTACGTATGGATGGCATAGAATCTGTATTATTTATACATTATATATTTCAATTTTATATTGTATGTTATATAATATATAGATAAGTATCTATGTAAGTGTGTATGTGTGCGTGTGTGTGTGTGTGTGTTAAACAATATAGTTCCATGTTCGTTATGTGAATGATATATTTGTGTAACTGACACGTATTTGTTTGCAGGGAGGGGTTATTTTGATGGTGCTGGTTGACTCTTACATAATTAAAGTGTCAATCTATATTCTTGGTATCCTACAGTTCCTTACAGTTGGATGGATTTATGGTATGGTACAGCGAGTTATCACATTCTTCTTGTTAAATACACATAGAAGACGATATTTTCTAATATTTGGCCTGTGTGTGCAATTCATTATGCTGGGGAAACCATTCCAATCCCACTTCGAATTCTAAGGATTCATAGTTGCTATCCATTCTTCATTATTGCTGAAACATTCATCATTTGAAGGCAGGCCGTTGTTCTGTGAAGGTCTTTACATGACACATGAACCACGTCGTAGATTTCTATATTCGAGTTATAAGCATCATGAAACATTGCTCTGTGTATATCGGTCTTTTGTATCACATCATTGTATTATTTATATCCATATCAACCTTATCCACATTTTCAGGCATGGGTCGGCTGGGCAGAGATATTGAGATGATGACTGGCACTCCACCTCCGATAGTCATCAAGTTTATCTGGTGTTTCATCCTTCCGCCCGTCTTGCTGGTAATGATATTTCTCGATAAATGGTATCTTGAGATAAATGATACATCACCATAAGTATCACAACTCTAATTGTTTCTTCCAGATTTTCCTGGTGTTATCCTTCATCGATTACACCGCTCCAGTTTACATTGATGATTCAAGGACGATCGTTTATCCAGTGTGGGCCCACGTACTGGGGTGGTTCATAGCACTGGTTCAACTGGCACCAGTACCCGTGTTTGCATTGCTGGCACTTGTCACTTCCTCTCAGGTAATGATTCTGTCTTGAATGAAGCTACGTGAGCTTGAGTGATTAACTCAATCAATTTGAGTCTTCGTGTAGGCGGCTTGGAGATGCGACATAGTACGTGCTTTGTTTAGAAATATTCTAAGCCAAATGAGATACAAGAAGTCACATTCCACCGAACTAACTTGAACAGCCAAAACCGGATATTTCTCTAACCTATTTGGTGTGCCCACTTTCCTCAGACATTTTTAATACCATTGTCCACTTGGCCTTAGTACACAGATATCTATGGAACACTTTTGCTAGAGCTATTTTCCAACTATTTTTCTATGATATCTTCTTAAACCTCCTTCCTTGACAAAGTTGAAATCACAGTACATGGTACTTGAACAGAGTGTTTGCTTTGCAAAGGAGATTCTTTGACAGCAATGTCCTGGAAGTTAGATGGAATGATTAACCTAAAACATGTATAGAGGATATGTCACAAACAGGTACTCTTATTTTGATATGACATGGATCTATCTAATTTGTATGGGGTTTTTCTGTTTGTTTGTTTTATTTTGGTTTTTGTTGTTGTTGTTTTTGCAAAACTATCCTTCTGGTGACACTTCAGTACCAAATGTAACTAGTGGGTTTCTTTTCAGCATTTGTTCAGCCCGCGACCAGAATGGGGGCCGACTGAAGATAGCTACAAGAGGCAATATGACAGTCAGCGCCAGTACAATGTAACACTGACTGAGAGAATCACTTCAATATTCACGAACTGATGTCACCGTACCGTGTCTCCCTTAGCTTCATTAAAGACAAGGCGCACAAAAAGCTATAGATCAAACTTCAAGAATTTGTAATTCTAAATTAAACCTATGATTTTTGTTAAATGCATATACTTGTTATGTTCAACATTATCAGTAAATGTCGCGTCACTGGATTGCCTTTTCTCTTGGTTGTCTACTTAAAACTCAGTTGTTTAAAAGTCCAGTGTTACTGTGCGCTCCCTGGCGTCAAAACAATATGAACATTACAAATTGTGCGAGCGGCATTTGCTACCGGTAAGCATGACATGTGTACCCTTTTCGTGAATACCTGATTCTATAACTGAGTTTTTGGTGATCTATTTGCATTGTCGCCGTTTAAGACAAACATGAGTTAATGATGGATCGGTCAAGTTACAAGGGGGAGGAGTTATTGAGCATCTCATGGAAGATCAGGCCTACACCTATCTTGGAATGCAAGTTCGAGACAAGCTCCAGAATGCCCAGAACATCCCTGTGGCTTTGACTCCGAGGTCCATCCATGGTACGACCCTGAACATGTCCAGGGCGTCATGGAAAATGATGCTTTCAAATTTCTCTGGAATAGGCCCATATACAGCCTGAGGAGAATTCCAGCCAACAAACCTGATCTTGTCCTTTTTGATAAAGCCAATGAATTTATATATATATATCATTGAACTTTCTGTCCCTTTTGACACCAATGTGATTGGCAAGATTCAGGAAAAGCATACTAAGTATGCGGACCTCGCCTTTGAAATGTCTCGCTTGCATCCCAAGTACACTGTCGTAAGGCTCCCCATTGTTCTCGGTGCCCTTGGTTTGGTACCTCCTGATCTCTTGGCGCAGATCAGGAGAGTGCCCCAGTTCTCCACCGGGAGCACAGCCCTTCTGACACTCTGGGTAATGCAGTGTTGGGGAGCCTTCATATTCTCTGGAAAGTTCTTGGTGGGTTCGACTAGGCAGTATTTCCTTGGAGAAGTCCCATTCGCTGTCTGGGCTGCGTGTAGAAGGGGCAAGGGCCCTGAGCTGATGATGAGCCTTACCAGCCTGACTGTGCCAGGATCACCCGAACCCTCTCTGCTGCATACTATCTTAAATCTGTAAAACAACATGGACAACACCATAGATCTTAATAGATAGTGTGTTGCGCCAGCTGTTAATAGGTGGTGTATGCTGGAGATATTCCTCATGTGGTGATAACAGATCTTACATACGTTACTGACGTGTGGCTCCATGGTAAGTGTGGAGTCGATCAGGACGCCCAGGTTTTTGACTGTTGGACTCACAGAGATCCGAGTTCACACTCAGTTTAGGTCAGTTGACTGGTGAACAAGTCATGGGAATGTCTGTTTTTTATCGTTTAGTTTGAGTTTACTTTGAGTCATCCATGTTTTCACATTCCCTACACACACTTCAACTTCTGCAATTTGTGATTTTGCATCATTAACATTGAGTTTTCTTAAGAGTTGAGTACCATCAGCATAACAATGATGTAAGATTTTATGCCGAGTAATAAGGTCCCCAAGACTACTGGTGTAGAGAGTGAATATCATCGGTCCCAATACGGAACCTTGCGGAACACCGCAAGAAAGGCTGTGTGTCTGAGATCTAATATTTTGGATGAGCACAAACTGAGATCGATCAGATAGATATGAGGAAAACCATGATAGAACAGAGTCGCCTAATCCAAAACGGTTTTGTAGACAATCAAGAAGATGTTTGTGATCTATCGCATCGAACGCTGCCGATAACTCAAGAAGGACAAGTACACAAGCCTGGCCAGAGTCTACCGCTCCAAGTAGCATGTTCATCACATAAAGTAAAGTTGTTTCAGTGCTGTGATTGCTCCGATACGCTGACTGGAATTCATCATATAGACTGTGGATTTTCAGATGAGCAGTAGGGCGAGTCTTTACAGCCTTTTCCAGCACCTTGGACACAAAGGATAGATTTGAGACGTGTCGGTAATTGGCCAAATCATCAGTGTCAAGGCTTGCTTTCTTCAATAAAGGCTTCACAGTAGCTTGCTTCAGGCGTTCTGGAACGTGTCCTGAGACCAAGCTGAGATTTACGATCTGTGTAATGACCGGAAGGAGAACATTTACAAGTTCTAGCATGAATCTGGTAGGGATGGGATCCATCACACAGAAGGTTGGTTTTGAAGCTACTATCAGTTTCTTTACCTTTTCCTTACTGAATGCATCAAATTTGTCAAGATGCATATCTGAGGTTGCAATGTCGCCTTGTAGAGACTCAGACAGTTCACACCTGTCAAGATTTGAACGGATCATTGCTATCTTCTCCACGAAGTAATTGCTAAAATCCTCCGCAAGAGCTGACATAACTGTAGAATCTGGGAGACTGGAAGACTTCTCCTTTCCCAGAAGACATGTCATGAAATCATACATGGATTTAACTGAGGTAATGTTCTTGATTTGAGCAATGCAGTGCTCAGATTTGGATTTCCGTATGATCATAGTAGTAGCATTCCATGCTAATTTGTACAACTGTCTGTCAATTTCCAACTTTGATTTCCGCCACTTTCTTTCCATTGACCGACGATGGGCTTTTGCTTCAGCAACATCCTGAGAATACCATGGGAAACTGGAGATCACTGGTATGTTCTTGACTATGCTTGGTGCGTGTTTATCAAGAAGATTAGACAGGGTCATATCTTAAGCTGCACACAATGAGTCAACTTCGGTAAAGGTCCCATTGATTAACTGGGAATCTTGAAGGTCCTGGGTAAAAACACATTTGCCAATGCGCTTGATGTTTCTGCAGGTGACGCTTTTCACTGGTGTTTTGGGCATGGAAACAGAGAGGGAGAAAGATACTACATGACCATCAGACATTTGTGTGTCTTGGACAGATAGACCGGACACAAAGTCATCGCGAGCAGACTGCGTCAGAACCCAGTCTAACGTATGTCCAGAATGATGTGTAGGTCCAGATACATGCTGGAGAAAATCGTGAGATTCAAGAACTTTGACACATTTCTTGACTGCTGCATCTTCAGGATTCTCAAGTGTACATTGAAATCTCCAAGCAACAACACATGCTTCATTTTCAAATTGACAAGAAGTGTTGACAGTTCAGAGATAAACAGGGTATAGGTCAGTCCGTTTTTCTTAGACGGTGGTGGCCTGTAAATGCAGATACATCGTAAGCATATGCCACTGATGGCCAGCAACAGATTCATGTGTTCAAAAGACTGAAATGTGAAAAGAGGGTCAGAACAAACTTTCACATTTAAGTTGGATCTATAGAGGACGCCTATTCCACCACCCTTTCTATGCTGTCTAGGTAGATGCATGAATGAATAAGCTGGTGGAATCATTTCGTCACCATTCGAGTGTAACCACGTTTCTGTAATGAAGAATGAACAGATCTGAAATATCCAGGGTTTTATTTCGGATGGATTGTGCATTCCAAAGTGATATTGTAATCAAAGGCAGGTTTTGTTTGGGATGAACAAACATGGAATGATTTAATGTTTCATCAGAGATGTTTGGGCACTGATGTAGTTTATGAATACATTCTTCAGGTTTTTTCGCGGCTGTTGACCACCCCTAATCCCCCTCCTTGTTGGCTTTTTGCAACATATTCCCAGGGCACGAATACAGGCCAGTACACTTGGAACAAGTCGAAATCTTTTGTCGTTAAACAACAGAAGCTCACCAGCAGAGTAGACCCTGCTTCTGTCTCTATTCAGTATCTGTGATGTCCTGATTGAGTCCACAGCACTTCCATTGTCCAGCTGGCTTGTCTGATCACTGGTTACCATCCCACAGGTAGTGTCCAGCTTGGGGGCAATCGGGCAAATGTGTACAATTTGCTTTAAAATACACATTATCCAAGAAAAAGCATCCAAATTTCTTCATATAGGTCACAAGTTGATACTTATTGTTCTTGACAAGTTTGGTGCACATGGGTTGAGAATAAACACCTCAATATAGACAAAAACATGAAAGCTCCTAAGACATGCAGCCACCCCGGCGCATAAAAAGTAGTGTTTTGACAGATAAGCGGTAGATTTCGGCAGTATTAAAGATCGTATACCAACATATGCTTTATGACAGAAATACAGTACATTTTTCGAAAGCATACTAATTTCCTGAATTAATACCAAATTCATTCGAACATGGACAAGCTATCTTTCTTGATGCGCATGAAAAATCGTTTTTCTCTGCCCGCGTACTGATGTTTTGTACAAAGCATGTCAATATATGTTGTGACTGTTCATGTATTCGTGTTGGTTGTTTTTGTTTCTCTTTTGTTTTATTATTTTTGTTGGTGTGACCGAGGGAGAGGGGGTTTAGTTTTGTATTCTAATGAATATAATGACCCTTTTAAAGTCAAAACTTGTTTACATTATTTCTTCTGAGTTCTTATTTATCAGAATGTAGGCCGGTCATAGTAACATAAATTAAAAGGCAAATGAAAGCTGTTTTTGTCAGCATAATAATCTATTTAAACAATTACACACAGTTTTATCAAATATATTATTTTGCATATCCAAAGTACTTTTTCTTATTGCCATACGTTTTTTTCTTTCAATTTCATAATAACCCATCGACTCTTTATTAAAATAGATTCAATTGTCTACAGCCGCGGTCAATAGTTGTCCGTTGCGACATCTTACCATTTATGATCAGCCGATATTTTACTTAATTTTACATTGATTACACAATGCCATTTGGAAAGTGGTCAAATGTAACATGTGTTATATTTGAGATTACACGTTCTTAGTAAGGTAAAAATTCTAGTCATTTGTGGGAGAGGGGTACACAAAGTCCGCAGTCTAGACTAACAGTTGTCCGACTTCCAGTTGTGGAAGTCGCGGTGGCTGAGCGGGTTAGGCGGCTGACTTTGAGTGCTGGCGATTAGGTGCCTGACTCCAAGGGTCTGGGTTCGAATCCCGGATGGGACTCAACCCAAAAAGTACTAGAATTTGTACTAAGAAAATGTAATCCAAATATAACACATGTTGTATTTATACATTGTTAGATCCTATTTTTAAGATGCTACACACAAAGCCAAACGATTTAAGATATAACAGACCATGAGCCAGAATCAAAGACCTTTATAATAATCTCCTTGGGGACGATTTAACCACTAGGCTACCCTACCTCTCATGGTATTTGATGACATT